CAGGATACTGGAGCACGTTGAGTCATGTTCGTAAGCAGCTCGGATCTCGTCGCGAAGTGGCATTACCGGGGAGACGCTCGTCAGGTTGACGCCTGACGCCTCGCACGTGGCACACTCGTCTACATCGTCTTCATCCAGCGAAGCTTGTCGACCCAATGCACCGCGTGGGTCGTAGTCGGGACGCCGAGACAAAGCGTCGGCGAGAATGTTGTTCTTGCCGGGTTTGTAGTGGACAACGAAGTTGTACTCAGAGAAGACGAAAGCCAGCGCGCCATCCGCTGGGAGAGATGAGGACTCTTCATCGCTGTCCTCAGCGATGCATGGTCGGTATACACCGCGAAGGTATCCTCACCCAACAAGTACACTCTGAACTTGATCAGAGCGTAGCGCATCGCAAGGAGCTCCTTGTCGTGAACAGGGTAGTTGCGCTCCGCCGGCTTCATCTGCCTGGACTGGTAGCTTGCGACACGCTCTCGGCCTTCTTCATCGAATTGTATCAGCGCACAGCCGATGGCGAAATCGCTCGCGTCGCAGACGACGTGAAAAGGCTTCGAGGCATCCGGGAGCGCGAGGATTGGGGCCTCGGCGAGACTCTTCTTCACCAAGTCGAAGGCGGCTTGATGTGCGGAAGTCCACGACCACGACACATCTTTCTTCAACAACGAAGAGAGCGGCTGGATCAATCCGGCGTAATTCTTCGTGTACTTGTGGAGATAATTTGCCAGACCCAGCCACTGACGCAGTTCAGTGGGATTCTGTGGCGTAGGCCACACACATATCGACGACACTTTCTCGGGGTCGGCGCGGACGCCGTTCTTGCTCACAAAGCAGCCAAGCACCGGAATCTCCGGCGCGCCGAATATACACTTCTTCAAGTTGGCATACAGCTTGGTTTCGCGCATCACTTGGAAGACTTGCCTCAGATGCTTCAAGTGGACTTCAAGCGCGCTGAGGCCGTCCTCAGCGCGACTGTGTACGAAGATGTCATCGAAATAACTCGGTGCGAAGTCGCGGAGCGGGCGCAGCACATGGGATACCATGCGATTGAACGTGGCGGGAGCATTCTTCAACCCCCTGCGGCATAACAAGCCACTCCCAGAGCATACCACTGGGAGTGCTTACCGCTGTGAGCGGTATATCGCTTAGCCTCATGAGGATTTGGTAGAACCCATCGGTCAGGTCGATGGCACTGAAGACCTCACTACCCGACATTGCGTCGAGCACCATGTCCTTCCGAGGAATTGGCGTCTGGGCAGGGATGGTAGCGTCGTTCAGCTTGTTGAAGGCATGGACGATGCGCCATCCGCCCGTGGCTTTCTTCACACAGAAGGCCGGACTGGAGTGCGGCGATGTGCTCTCACGCACATGACCCGCCTTGCGGCGCTCTCGAAGAAGTCATCGATAGCTTGTACCTGATCTCGCGGAGCGCCACTGCCGCGTCACACAATACTTCGAGCCGGGCACGAGATCGATCTCGTGGCGAATTCCTCGGTCAGCTGTAGCTCAGCTGGGATCTTATCC